CTTGCTCTGCGGCAGCCAGCGGCTCAACGGCCGGGGCTATTGCCTCGGCGACCGTCTCCGGCTCGGCAGGCGACTCGGGGGGCGGAGTGTACGCCTTGGGAGGTGCAGCCTTGATAGTATAGTAATCGGCGCCAGCGCTGTTGTAGGGCAGGGTCACGACATGCATGTCGTTGGTAGCGGGGTGGCCGGGCTGGGTGTCGCCGCCAAAGATGTATGCCGTGCCATTGACGACATTGATGGAGTGGGAGGACAGCGGCAGCGGCGGGATATCGATCTTCTCCCAAGTGCCCTTCATAGGGGCAGGGCCCTTGGGCTTCTGGGTGGCGGGCGCATGAGTAGAGGTGGCATTCGGCAGAGTCATGGACGGGAGGTTCTGGGGGATGGATTGTAGCAGGTCGGTGGTGCGACGCTTGAGGGTTGCGAAGGATTCCATGATGGCGGCGGTCGAATGTCGGGTAAGGTACCTTGTGTGAGGAGATGATTGAGATGGACAATGGTGGCTGCAGAGAGGGGAGGAGAAGGGTGGAAATCGACTCGTGTCGAGCGAGGCGCCCTTCAAGCGTTGGCCGGCGGTTTGCTGACTGCTGGAGCTGGGGCGAAGCTGGGATGATGAGTGGTACCTGGCGTGGTAGGGTAAAGTAGGTACCTGCCGCAGGGAAGGTCCGGGGTTCTTATGACGTAGCAATTATGGATGCCAGTGGTGATGTTGCTGCTGTTTTTGCAAGATGTCGTGCCGTTGTGTTTGGATTTGCCGTAGCGAGGTGAGTGAGATGCACCATCAGGCCAAGCCTGGCTTCTTGAGAGTAGCGACGGCGCGCCATCTTGTCTGGCAGCGAACCTACCATGGCGATGGTCGTTGCTCACTCGTATCGCTGGTTGCGGGAGTGGGGAGGAGGAATGGGTCCAGGAAGAGGGAGGGGCGCCGTGCCATCATCAGTGTGGCTCAGCTGCGGCAGGGTACAGGTAGCTCGAGCTCTGTTTTTAGCTCGCTTGCTGCCAGGACGCGCTGGAGTCGAGCACTGGAGCCAGGTGCGAAGCAAGAACTTTCAGGGTCGTTCCTTGCTTGGCACCTTCGACATCGCAACTACTGGTGGGGCGGTCCCCAGCTTTTGTGCCGGCTGTGCCACGTGACTCTCCATCCCGAAAGCTCCCTTGTCTGCTTTTCGCCAGGTCTTGGCATGGCTTCTGCCTCGGGAGGTGCGCCTTCGTGAAATCTGGCTTGCTAAAGCAGAAGGTTTGTCGGAACTGAGCCGAGAACGATGTCCCATGCTGCTATTTGAATGACGACTTGATTGACGTCCTATCATGCGACATGATTGTGTCGGACTGTACAGCCCACGAGCTTCCTGCTTGCTTCACCGAATCCCCACGTAGCGAAGATTATCACGTCAGGCTGGCGACCCCTTCGTTCAACCTCAGTAGGCAGACAGCAGCTAGCAATGGTGAAGAAAGATCCCGGAGCGGAATGACTCCACTCCAGCCATGAAGCGCAGCTCGTGCTGAATGGATTGGCGCAATGCACATTGAGGTCTGATGACCTTCCTGTGAGATAGTACTGTGATACTGTCCTTCAAGCCCCCTCCTATTCCCGTTCAGGGAACGCCTTCAAGATGACTGCGACGTTGCTGTCATACCTTCCCTGTTGATGCGCGTCCCTGCCGACGTTGTGTTACCCGAAATCAGACGCTCCCTGCCCTTCTCAGGCTCTCACCGCATGTGGCTGCGGAAGCCGTCCAACCTTCACCTGCCTCACTCAGGCCCAGAAATAACACAATCTCACAACTTCACACAAATAGATCGAGAAGGCGGTACGCCGAGAAGGCTTTCGCCTAACATACCCAGGGTCGTCGATGGAGTAAGGGAGGTGATGATCACCGGTCACTCCAGTGGAGACCCGAACCGGCCCCACAGGCGCCGACCAGGAGCCCCGGGTCCGGACCTCCGTCTCAGCCCCAGGCCCCGGTAGGGGAACTACCAAGACAAATAGTTCAGCCTCCTATCACCCAAAAGAGAAACCTGCAGTCACCGGTCAACCAAACTATGATAAGGCGCCCAAAAAGACCACGCTCCATGGATGACCACCCTCTTTCTTGGCCCAGCAACATACACCCCCCACCCCCCTCCTTTCGCTCCTCTTGCTCTTCCAGAAGGGTTCTCCCCTGTCCCCTGGGGATTTTGCATCGCCGTCTTCCGCCATCCGAACCCCCCCGCTCCCACGCTCCAATCCTCTAGCCCTAATTTCGGCGCCCTCCAGCACATCAGACAGCGCCACTGACCAACGCCCCTCCATGACGCCGGGCACCCCACGTCGTCCTGGGAAGCCACCAATGACGCTGATCATCACGATTCACACTTAACAATCGCCGAACATTTCTTTCCTCTAGCTCCATGGCGCTCGTGGGCAGGCACGGAGAGTGTTGCTAATCTCGTCGGCTCGATTCGTGGCTCAGACGAGGGGACCAGCTGCCCAGGCCGGCAACTGGCGCGTGGCCAGTGCACCGAGACAGGTTGTGTGGCCAGTTTCAGAAGAATTCTCTTAATGATGATTGACACTGGGAAATGTAACGGACATGCCTGGTCTAAACATGTCTCTGTGACACTTTGTATTCTCTTGAAGGAAACACAGTAGCGTATATGAGGAGAAAGAACAGAAAGAAGAGAAAACAGCAAAAGCAGACCGCCCAACCATAAAAACATGAGAGAGAGAAATAGAGACAGACCCTCCTCACATAGCAGCCTCCGAAAGCATTAGGTATATCATACTGGCCCCCAAAAGGCCCATAAACCATATAATCGTGACCGGTAAACGCGCAAGACAAAGGCCGTCAAGGTACAATTCGTGTGTCATCAGTCTTCTTCGCCGTCGGCATCAACATCCTCCGCCGACTCCTCCTCATACCTGGCTGCTTGTGGACTGGATGATGAGTGGCCCTTCGCGCCTCTCTTCGCAATACCGCCGGCAGAGGCTGGCTGCCCCCGGAGGGGGTGCATCAGCTCCCACTCACCAGTGTCCGTCTTGCGCACGACGCCGACCCCGGGACTCGCCGCCCAATTGGTGAGGGTAGGATCCCCATCACCCCCGAATGAGAGCATCGGCTCACGGCCTTCAGAAGCCTTCTCAAGGTGCTTGGCGACGTGCTCCATGCGCTCGTCCCAGGCATTCGCCCCTGAGAACACCATGTCGCAGCCGGATGCGGGGCACTGCATGTGTGTTGGAAGTTCGCATCGTCGTCGCTCTGCTTCAGTCTGCATCTCGCGCAGACGATCGTCCCACTCAGGTGTCGGTTTTCTCAGGCGCAGAGCCTTGGCGATGGGAGGGGGGACATGCATGCGGCGCACATGCTGGGTGTAGAGGTCTTTGCGGTTAAAGATGGCACCACGAGGCAGCGGCGAAGGGGTATCGGTAGCAGGGGAACCCTGCTGAGAAGCGGAGGCCGGGTTGGTGCAGCTCTCGCATGCGTCTTGTTTGCAGTGCCAAAAGCTCAAGGCTAGATGCTGTGTGACAACGTGACGCTTCCACTCATTTTTACTGGGAAAGCTCGATGAACAGCCAGCAAAATTGAAAATGCAGACGAAGGGGCGGATATGTTTGCCTTTCATATGCTTCTGCAACGCCGCCTCGTCTCGGAACGGCCCCTGGGCGCAAGCCTCGCACGACAATACATGCTTCGTGGAATGAGGCGCCTCGTGGCTCGACTTTGACGGAACTGCACGTGGTAGAGCATGCACCTTGGAGCGCTTCCGCGCAGGTCGCGTGGCGACATACTGAGCCTTGTTTGCGTCACTGCGTGTCCGTTTCCTGGAAGGATGGGGTGTCCACTCCTTGTCCTCGTCCTCGTGTTTCATTATCATCTCCTCTGCCTCGAGCTCGGACTGATCGCGCTCCTCGTAGTCGGGGTCGGGGTAGGTAGGCTGCGAATGGGAATGCGCAACAAAAATCTCGTCCTTGACTTGCACTTCCATTTCTGATTGCGACCCGGCGCTACTGAAGCTAAGAGCCATGGAGCCATCGTATTCAGGGGCCTTTTCGTTCTCAAAGATATCCTGGGAGGGGTTGACTTCCAGTAGGCTGACATAGGGATTCTCTTGCGTCGGGACGATTCCTCTTAAGGTGTACAGGCGCGACTGTTGCGCATCCCAAGACGGTTGGAATTTGATGGCCTGCGAGAATGGAGATGTCGCTGACATGTCCGGGGGCGTGGAGGGCAGAACATCGATTTCGGTAGGTGGACTCAGGGAGTCGCTGCAAGAAGACGAGTGGTGCTGGGAAAAGGGAGAGCCATGGCGGCCCTGGGAGACGGGTGGAAGTGGATTCACATCATGCTGGGAATACGCGTAGTTGGCCTGGAACTGGCCGAGGGCAAAGAGAGAGGTTGACGGTCCGACCATGTATTGCTTGAGCTGATGGGTGTGTACACCTGGCCATGACACGGTTCCCAGATGAGCTGTCAGGCCTTGCTCAAGATTCGGATCGATTGGTGGTGGCATATCAAAGTTCAGGGCATCCTCGGTATGAGAGGCCTGATTCTGACCGTAATCCTGGTGTTCGGGGTAAAAGGGGCCCTGCGTGAGTCGCCTATCGAGATGGAATATGTGGTATGTCATGTTGTCTGGGTCGTCCAACAACGGGAGAGCACTGAAACAGGTGCTGCGTGGAAAGTAACACAGCGAGGAAGAGGCTGCAGAGTGTCGAGAGAACCAGATGTTGAGGGATGTTGCGCGGGAGAGGTAGGTGGCAGCTATCCCGTGCTATGATGCGAGTGAAACAGCATCAACCAGGCTCGGCGGAGAGAAGCAGGTGGGTTGCCGATGACGAAGAGGGATGAGGGTATCAAGAGGAGTGTTATAGTTTGTCGATAGACGGAACAGGAGGGTCACGGATGGCACTTTGCGCGACAGTGTCTGCCCTTTCGTATTAGTACTAAGAAGACGCTCGGCAGAGGAAGGGACGGGCACAGCAGAGGGAGCCAGAGGGGGCAGCATCTGCCCCCAGAACAAGCATGGGCACGAGAGAGCAGAGCCTCAATCTCAAGTCAAGGTACACTCCAGGGCTCACTGCACGCTCGAGGCGCTGGTGGAGTGGAGTGGTCCAGAAGTCGGCCTGGACGGGATGGATGGACGTGTCGCATCGTACAAGTAAGTACATACTTGGCTCTCGAGCCCTCGCCGACTCGGTAGCGGCCAGGGTCTGAAGGGGATGAGGCCTGGCATGCTGCCCCCTGGACATGATGCGGCAGGTCCCGAATTGGCATACTGACGGCATGGACAGGTAAATCCGAGCCACGGGGCGCGGCCCAGGCCTCTCTGCAGGAGGAGGGAGGACGAGGAGGAGGGGGGGTACGGTTGGTCGTCCAGGCAAGGAGGGGGGGAGTGGTCAAGGATGAGCTGGGGTTTGTCGATGTGACTTCTTCGGTGGCCGGTCCTCTCTGGCATGTTTTCCATTCAGTCGATCCCTACCTCGTTCAGTCCAGGTCGCCTCCCAGCTGGTCCACCTACCTTACCCAGACGCTGGGGCTGAACGGCATGGCATAGCATGGAGACATGCGGGAGGATGAAGCGCCCATGGAGCAAGACATGGCGCCAGCACCTTGGGCTGCACCTCGGGAGGCCTTGGCCGTCGTCCCCTGTGACGGAACAGCACGGGAACGCCTGCCATCATGAGGCAGAACGCAGAGAAAAAGGAAAAGGACATGGCGGAAAAGAAGCACTCTGCCCGTAGATCGAAGATCCGATGTCGTTTGGCCCATGGCGGTGAAGTAGATAAATCGCCAAAGGCGATCCGCACGCCGTTAAGGCGTCCAAGCCTAGAGGTGAGAGGCAGGCGAAGGCAGGCAGACTCGTTGCCTACCTGCCTTAAGGTACCTAGGGTACCTGCCTGCCTAGATACCTACCTAACTTAGAGAGTGTGTCGGTTGGCGCCTGTTGGCTGGGACTGACCCACATCGTTCATCGTTCATCGGTATCGGTCGAAACCTGCGAGCCCCTAACGTAAGGCCCAAGTCATCGGAACATGGGAGGATCCTGGGTGCAGCTGTTGGCAATACCTGCAGAGATGATTCGATGCGTATCTGCCCCATGTGCAAGACTTGGCCGTCGTACAAAGGTCCTTGGAGGACGGGAGGGAAAGGCGACGTATCGGGCCCGAATGGACGTCGACGGGACATGAGGAGCCCCACCGCGCGCGCTCTCGAGGTGCATCAGACCATCGTGCCATGCTACTGGGCTGCTGCATGGGGCTCCTCGAGTCGCCGGCTGTGTATCTCGCCCCATGTCCAGTGTGCAATAAGGTAGGTAGGCATCATGGGGGGCGGGGTGCCCTGAAGATTCGCTTGGGGTGACCTGGGCGTCCACTGGACTTTCTGCAACCAGCATACCTACTATCTTTGAGATAGGTATTCACAGCACTTGTTACCCACCTGTATATGCGTACAGAGAGTCTTGGGCACCTCCCCACCTCTCCGCACCCCTGTCACATCCCCCCCCCCCCCTTCTTCGCTGTCCTGCCATTCACTATCGTTCAGCACTGCTTGGCATATTGCCAAATTTCATGACCGAAGGCCTAATTAGGAAAATGCACTTGACGCAACTCGCTGGCCCAAACCCTGGACCCCCTCCCATGTAATTCCATACGCTCTGTGGTTGGGCCGGATGCGAGGCGCGTGCTCATGATAATCATTGCCCCCCCGCCCCCCCTGGTCGTTGGTGAGTGAGACCGGTCTGCAATTCGGAGTGAGTAACCACATCGAATTCTTGACACCCTCATTCGAATCCCCCTTCACCTCAGTGTGTCACGTAGGGTGGCTGTTTGGGGAGGTCCGCTGGCTCTCCACCTCCAAACCCAGCCACTCCAGCAAGACAGCTCTGTACCTTGAGGTGGGTGTTGGTGCTGTCCATCCTGTGGGCCTACTTACACTACCAACCCAGAAGAGGAGCGCCTGGGACCTCCTGCCACAACACTACGCCCCCGTCTTCGAGTTCAAGATCCTTCGAGGTCAGGCCCAACTTCATCCGAGACATGAGGCGTCTCCCCGGCGTCTATTTTCTTCCTTGGCCAAAAATTCCCGTCGGGAGGTGGAAGCGGCCTCCGATCCCATGGGACGCCGATGCGCAGCCCCCAGATGACGCCAAAGTCAGCCTTCAGCCTCCCTCCTCTCTACCGCCATGGGAGGCAGATTCTCCCCACGTGGAGGCAGACTTTCTGCTCCTCGTGGCGAAGCACATCGCGGTCCCAATATTGATACGGTTCCATCGCGATCTAACGTAGGAGACTGGATCTTCCGTCATCTGCTCGTGAACTCGACGTCTCATCCGAAACGTCCATTTCTGTGCAAACAACCATCAGCCAGCAAACAATGCCTAGGGAAGAGCCCTACTAGATGGGCATCCAGCTCGTCGGCTCGGGCAAGATCGCTCTAGGTGGCTGTCCGGGAGGCCTGTTTTCCCCGGTCGATGGCACCATTCATTTCCAGTCCACTCCCAGATGCCTGTCCTCGTCACCATCTGCAGCCGTGAGCACCTTGCGCCGCGATAAGACCATTTTCCTCTGTTTATTTGGTATATGCCACAGCGCTCTTTCCCCTGCTGACCCCTGCCCTCTCCCCCTGCTCGTCTTATGGCCCCCAATACCCATCCATATGGATTGTCGCGCATCTCCGAAACCCTAGGTCTGTGCCGCTCATGAGCATCTGCTCATCCATCCGCAACCTAGATTATGCCCTTGCGCCCCTAACATCACCAGATCTTGGAGATGCCAAAAGTTGCAAAGTAAGGTACAAATCCGGATTACCACAAGCATCAAGCGCCTATCGAATTCTTCACAACGCTGAAACAGGACGCGGCTGAGCACCTGACTGCCCCCTATCTTGCCCTTGAGCCATGCGAGCAAGGAACGGAACATCTGAGCGAGACACCAAGTGGTCACATGCAAGTGCAGCGAACAACAAGCTGGCCGTGAGCCAAGAAACATTGAGAGGCTGACGTCTCGACTCGTTGTACCCAAACAGCACATGACATATCACCATGCTTCCAAATCACTACATTCGGCAGCAGGTGCGTGGTGATTTTGCCGATGCTTATGGTTGGTTTCTGGATCACCCAGCCATATTTGTGATTTTCGCCGTTTGCTCTACGTCTCTACTGGGCAGTCGACACATCGAGAATGCGAACACGACACGCAAGCCCGGTTGAACCTGAAACTGGACTGCATGGTGCAATTGCACTAGATGAAATTAGTAGATATTCGCATTGGAGGGGTTCGATGTTAACCTACGCAAGTCCACATCGTCGCCAATCGTCCCCTTGGTCGTCTTGACTCTGGGCACTCACTGTCATCGTCTAACTTTCTCTTGCCAGGCAGGGTGGAATCAGACACGAGACGGCCATTCTTCGATGGAGATACCCGGGCAGTGGCCTGATGTTCAGGTGAAGACTTCGGTGTCTCCATCTTGTCAGAGCTCGGAGTAGAGCCAGATGCCGAGAGCTCGGTTTCCAGGTGTTTCCAATCCGATATGCTCCTCTTATCCGTGTTTCGGCCGCAAAAGTGGTCGTCAATGTGGTCGAACCGCTTTGTCGAAGGTTGCATTGCAGGGTGGCTTATCTCCATGATCTTCTCACAGAAGCCACACCAATATCGTAAACCACAATCTCGGCCAATGCGACAGCTGTGCAGTTCCGCCTCCAAAGCGCTCACATCTCGAAAGTTGTGTGTGCCCTGCAGATGTACCTTAAAGTCTTCGCGGCGAGGGAATACCTTGCCGCATATGGTTCCCACCCCTTTTGAGGCTCGCTCGTTACATTTCCAAACCTCAAGCTGAGTATGTTGACTGGTTTCGTGCCGTTTCCAATCGTTCTTGCTTCCGAAGCTCTTGTCACAATTCAGAAATGTACAGCCGTAGGGCTTGTCATGTCTTTTTATGTGCTTCCTAAAACCAAATCAATACTCAATACATGAGTCGTATGTGTTTGGGTCTGCTTACTTGAGATCACATCTTCTTTGGAAGCTCTTGTGACAACCAGGGCATGGATGCTGCGCATTGGCTTGCACCGTTGTGCGTGCCTTTATTGGTTCAATGCGAAATGGGTTGTGCCTCTCCCTCAAAAACTTCTCCAACAAGGCTTCAGGTACAGCTTGGAGGAACTCATTGATTTGCTGATCAGTCATAGTGATGTCTTGAGTAGATGTTGGTGAAATATTGTGAGCTCCGCCGGTGTCGATACCTTGCGACAGGAATGGAGGCGTCTTAATCACCTCAACAAGACTACCTGCACTTATGGCTTTTGGGTCATGTGAGACCTCCGAGTGATCGTTGCGACGCATGAGATTCTCCTGCTCATGCAAGTCTTCAGACGAAGAATCGGCATCTGCCTCGGAAGCAGACGTATCTGAAGGGTTGACTTGATCACTTCTGTCAGCTGTTGGGTTCTGTTCAATCTCCATGCTCGGATTCCGAAGATTGCCCCCCATCAGAGGATGGGGAGCAAGTGTCGTCTCTGGCGGAGTGGTAGCATCAGAAGTGTTCGAGTTCGAGTCCATTCCACACTGGGTCAAGTTTAGGTGCTTTCGGCAATTCATTCCTCTTTGTTGAGGATTTCCGCCCTGCATAATGCCCAATGGCAATTCACGAACCGCATGTCCTGTGTTTGGCTCTCCCAGACCAGAAAAGCCGTGGCTGGCTGGACTTGCAACAGAGATGTCCAACTCTGTTCGGGGGCCGGTGCTATCCACGACGAGGTGCGTCATCTCCAAGTCTTGAGACTGATGATTTGCCCACATGGATGGCGGCATTTCCTGGTCGTAGGGTGTGAAGCGGAAGCTTTCAATCGTTGAATCGGACGCATCCATGCCTTCCGTAAGGCTTCCGACATCTTGTTGTTGAGACCTGATTGAGTAAGAGTGTAAGTGACAGTGAATAAAAGAAATAAACGTAGCAACCTACGGAATTAAATATTGAGCGAGGTCATCATCGACTGCGCGAACACCATGAAGGCGTCTGAGGTGAGATCTGAAGTTGTCTGCCCTTGGCCAGATCTTTTTCTTGTTGTGGCACGGCGCCAAATGGCAACGATATCTGGGCCCGCCAGTATCCGTGTCACGATGAACGCTTCGTTTATGACGATCCAGATCATTGATTGTACTAAAGCCTTCCTCGCGAGAGCAACCGGAGACATCGCACTTGTGAGGCTTGCTATGCCTCTGCTTGTGTTTGCTAGCGACGATGTCAGTGACGAACGGACAATGCCCGTGGTTGGGGAGAGGGTCACAATTACTTCAGTTCCGACTTTGTCTTCAGATGGCTTCCACAGTCAGGGCATATGATCACTGTGCTATGGGCAGTCCCTCGAGTGCGCAGTGTTGACAGGCCACAGGTCTCGGTCATGTACGCATGGTTGTTGGCGGAATTGCCCGTGTACGATGGCGTCGACGACATGCCCGCGAAGGGATCAAAACCATCCATACGCCCAGTCAAACTCTGGGTCTCATGGCCCCGGTCGACATCTCCAAAGACGGAGGCGTTGGCGATACTCTGCTTGGTCCGGCGGCTCTCATAACCCGAGTCGGATGGAAGCTGTCCTGGAGGCAGGGTATCACATTCGGACGGGCCCGGACTGCGCCATTCTGAGTATCGGGGAGCAAAGGCATCACGCAACGCCGTGGGGCTGTTCTGATGTTGCCCTTGGCCGGCCCGGTGATCAGGGACGATGATGCCTAGGGGCACCCAAGGACTGTCATCGGCGGTGGCATCATAAAACTTCAAGATATTCCAAGGCTTCGGAATGCCACGAAGAGGGGCGTCGCCGCCACCTGGCGTAAGGTTAACGTCGGTGAGAACATCCTGGCCAGGCAGATGAAAGGGCTGCGGACGCGAGGAATCCATCCCCACTACCCTAGTCAGGCGGTACGGTGGACCAAGTTGCGATGGGGAGGGGAAGAGATCCCGGGGCTGAGCCCCAATGAAGGACTAAGAAGAGTTGTCAGGATTTCATGGTCTTGTTATGCGACGCAGAAGGGGATGGGGCGTACTGGGAGACTGTCACGGTCATGGGTGGCATAGGACCCCGAGGCCTTCGACATGATTTCCAGGGACAGCGATTATCAGTGACAGTGGGGGGTGGGGCGGCAAGGCAACGTTGAAGGCTGACTTTGTGACGGGAGTGGCGAGACTGGCGAAGTCACTTTCGAGGCGCGGCGCGCCTTGGGGTGTCGGATCTAGTTGTGAATGCTGCCGCAAACAGAATCACATTGATGACATGGTGCGAGCATAGGCAAGAAGCAAAGCTTTGAGCGAGGTTGGTCCAAGGACGTGCTCTGGAGGCTCTGAACTGACGGAGTGGCTCGGTGAGAGCAAGTGAAAGAACGGGCCGTCTGAAAGCGAAGCTGGGGTGGGGAGGGAGGACAGAGGGATTATCGAGGTGAGGCGCAGGAATAGGGAGCAAGGAGGCTCATCAGTCGTGAGGCGAATGGGACAGGCAGAACAGCCAGGAGGAACCGTCAAGCCTCTGTCTGCCTCTTTGGATCAGAGTCTGGGATTGAAATGTAAAGAGGAAGAGCATCCCCACGTAGATAGATCGGTACGTTGATGGATGAAATGGTGAAATGAGGCGTCTCCCTCCCGACGACATCGGCGCAGTGATGATGATGTGAAGCAAGTGTACCCGACCACATAACAATACCGCGTGGGCATGCAAGTTGAAACGGAAAGTGCAAATGCAAGTGCGAACAGTCTCGGTCCATCACCTCATGGTGCGAGAGTGGGCAGGATTCGCTCGGGCAGATGCAACCTCGAGGTGTGGTGGTGTTTGGCAAAGAGGGGGGGTCCAGGCGGGTGACAACTTCCTGTGATCGAACCCCCCAATCGTATCGCCGTCCAACAAGGAATTATGAGGCAACCACAATGGCTTTTGGTGAGGAGCGGTTGCCTTCCCTCGCTAGTCCGCCCTGGGCATTCAAATGCAGCTCTTGCTTGTCCAGGACTCCCGAGCTGGTTTCGCAGGAAGTCTGAACTCTCGGTGAGGCATCTGTTCAATGGAGGAGCCAATCAGAGAGACGAAATGGGTTTAGGCAGCCACTGTGGATCCTGGCTGAAGAAGGCAAACAGAGTGGGTGGATGAGCCGCGGTGCGAACCGTCGTCTCCTGTCCGCGCCCTTGGTGTCCGCTCAACGAAACTGGGCGAGAACAAGAAATTGCAGTCACGCGTGTTCACCCTTCTTCCACACCCCTCCTGCGCGACCTGAGACGGCTAAGACGGGCACCTGATGTCATGGCATGCGGTGGACCTCTTGTAATACCCACGGCGAAGCTGCGAGCTGTCCTCCGAGCCCCTCCTCAGGTTCAGCACCAAGTCTCAATGACGGCGCCTCAAGTCACTGATGTAGTCTGTCAGAGGCTCACATCCACATCGCAGTGCGTCTAGACTGTTCTTGTTTGACCAATTTCGTTCTCAGCGGCTTCTTCTCCCGACTGTGTACTCACCTCTGGAGGTCACTCGCTGGCCAGTCTTCTATAGCTACCGAGCCATGTGGCCTTGTACGACGTCGTCCCACTTGCTGCTGTCTCTGTGCCTCACAGTGCAACTTGAAGGCCATGATCTTGTCTGGCAGATACTTCTGCAGGATAACTCGACAAACTGTGTTTGTTTGTTCGCCAACTAGTCACAATCAACCCATTTAAAGGAAGAAGTCCGCGCAAGCAATACAAGACTGTCATCGTGCTCTTCATCAAGCCCACGCCAGGCTCTTTGGTCGCTAATCATTTCCCAGGACATGTCGCATGAGGAGCAGTCTCCGTGAAGACCTATCTTTTGCAGAGCGCAGTCGACCACGCACACGGCACTTTGCATGTGCACATGGGTTGATCATCTCTTCCCGATTTTGGTGAGGCACAGGGATCTTCCTAAACGCGAGTGCGACGTAAAGATCAAATCAAATTCCTTGCTCTGTGCCATCCTTCTCAAGCCTTTACTATCCCCTGCCTGGGTCCTGGCTGGCGTTTCTCCTGGCTTCTATGCTCACGGTGTCAGCGGACCGCTTCGTCCGCGAATGTGTTGTTTCCCCCTGCGTCTTATCTCTACGCTAGCAGTCTTCCTTTTCGAAATGTCTGTTGCCTCTTGAACGACTTCACCAGGGTCCCAGAGCAGCAAGTTATGCAAACGCTTGGTTTGATTAGCTCCATATTTTCCTGTTCTGACCTGCCTGGCGAACCTCGTGCTTCAACAATGGCCTGGTGATGGGCGGAAAACGCAGCCACCTTCTACTCATGTCTGCCTGTCAAGGTAAAACGAGCTAGGATGTGATGGATGATGTCTTGAACAGTCGCTATCCGGCCCAAAAACTGGCGTTGATCTCATGACGATAACGCTTGTAAACATAGATCCATTGCAAGAGGCTGCTCGCTCTAACCCCATGTGCGATGGTCCCTGGCTCCCCTAAGACTCGATACATATAAGCAAACGGCCGTTGTCTTGGCCTCGTCAGTACATTGATGCATTGATCGAGACTCAGGGACTTGCTGTGATGTGTTATTTGGTTGATCGAGCATGGTTCCAGTCCTGAACATCGAGAGCTGCAGCAGGACCGCGGCGCCACAGTCTTTCGAATTGACCTCCTTTACATTGTACGTGGTAATCTCGTCTGGTGTGACCCAGAATATCATGTTGACAATCTCAAGCCCCTGTTTCACCGTACTTCGCGGGTAAAGATATCAAGTCTCCCCAGTCACCCGTCCGTTACTGGTGCCAGATCGAGGTTTCTAGGCCTGGCAGACGCAGCAAAACACATCAGGCCTTTGCAGTCCGTCTTGGAAGATGTGATGTGTCAACACCCGAGGTCAAGTGCGTTGTTAAATTCGGACAGACACGCTTTCTGCGGGCCTTGAAGAGATATGCGTGCGGTGGGAACCGACAGAGGCGAACATCCAACGAGGTCTATGCAAATTTTACCAGGTCTGATCGCACACTGTACTTCGAAATCCGCGGCGAAGATATGGTACTCTGTGGCTCGAACGCAGTTCACAGGACGGAGAGAAGTCAACGATCTCGCACGGCGGGGTTGGGATATGTGGCGATAAAAGGAGCCACAGGGGCCTCACGCAATGACGGGCAATTTGGACCTCTACCCCATCGATTCCAGGTCCCAGTAAAAATCCACAAGATTCTATTCTTCCGAACACAGCAACTATCGCAGACTCGGGCGAGTCCTGACGATCCTAAGACGAAGTAAGTTGAGCTGCAAGAGGGAGGCGTAATCCTTCTGAACTTCATCCTTCCAAAACATTTCACCAGCTGACACTCCATGAATGTAGGGAATAAGTCCACTATACTGGCAAGCTACGATGTGCGATTGGGAAGAGTTCCTATTTACCTGTAGCCACTCCATCGTGAAGCTCAAGTCATACTGCCACTTCGCCCGCAACGACCCCCACCACCAGTGCTTCAGCGTCAAGGTTCTTCGACACTCGTGGCGGCAAGGTGTGCCGTGTGAGAAATGCCTTCTGTCCTGGGCGCCCCGTGAGAGACGCGAATACTCCCGCCACCGACTCATCCGAATCCCGGAAATAGAGGAGCAGACATGAGCCTGTTGGTAGGCTGTCTACACCGTCAGAGACGCTGGAGGTATGCCACTTGGGTAATTATGTGGGAAATTCGAAATTGTGGTAACACCAACGCCTCAATCAGCGGCCAGTAGGGTGAAGTTGAGTTGAGACTGCCTTCAGAAGGGGGCTGATTGTTACTTTGCTCTCGTTGCATATGAGACGCTACATCGAACGTCAAGTTTGGCCGAGCCCCAGACGTAGTGAACATGGTTGACCGAGTTGTCGGTGGTAGAGCGGCTGTGAGAGTTTTGGTCCGACGGTCGGGAAATGCTGTGAGATATGCCTCTGTTGCGTGTAGGATGTGGAGGATACCATCAAGTGAATTCTAGTACATCGCCTTTTGAGGACTCCGTGACATGTGTCCCCTTCTTCGGCGACGTCACCCAATGCACCATGGCCAGTCCGGCTTTATCGTAACCACCGAGCCACGTCCTCAAGCACAAGTCTGGAATATGCCAGTCACAGCCATGTCGTAGCATCGGCCTCACACTCGGTCAGGGTGTCAATCGAAGCGTGAACACAATGTTGACGAGTATCAGATTCCCCGATTGAGCGCCGCACGTTGGCCCGCTGTGCAACATGACCATGCAGAATCCCGGTTGCACAGCTACTTGATATCGAGGATGGAACAACGATGCAGTAGTTGACTCTTTTCGAAACGGTGTTCGACATAGTTTTGCACAAACAAGCGCACACTGTCCTAGTCTTCCCTGAAGCAGAATGTAGAATATTGAACTGTATTGACAGCGCATCTTCTGCAGACCGTTGCCATCAAACAACTGTTTGACTGCTGCGAGCCCAATAAGGGCCAGCCTGCATGAAGATTCAGTATATTGGCCCGGAGCTTGTGCAAAGATGTGCTCACTTGGAGGGATGCTGATACCAACCCGATGGCTGCGTGCATCTCCAGAAGTTGTCGGGATGGACTGCCGCAAACTCCATACCGCGCTCTAAACGGTAAGCAGCTGCCGAGTTACGTAGTCGATGCAGGTTCAAACGGCCCAGACGGGGTCCTGCAACCCAGCCAGGGTTCATGATACGGTGATTTGGCGCGCACAACGATGTGGTGGCAGAGTTCGCAATAGAGTTTCATCTATTTAATATGAGCGTGCTGCTACTCACATCACACCACACATTCTGCATGACAGACGGCCAGGATTCTCTATCACTCCTTGTTAGTTGCTCCAACAACATAGCCCACAACGTTGTAGCGCTTCGAAAAGTACGTGTTCCAGTCATCTAGCGTCGACTTCTCCTTGTCGTCCAGGTCGTGCCACTCGGGCCTGACATCCTCAGCCTTGGTCGAAGTCTTCCCCAGGGCGCGAGAAGCATCCTTTCCGGCGAAGACTGAAAGTGACAATCGTCAGAATGAGGCACCGTCAAGAGGGAAAGAGCAGAAGACCGGATCGCCAAGTGAAGAGGCGGGTACTTGCCATTGTAAGAACCCCCCTGCTGGTAGGCCTTGTTTCCGGTCACGTCGTAGACTTTGCCCTGCGTCATGTCAGAAGGAAACATAGAAGGAAACATCGCAATGCGTCGTGAATGTAATGAACCTTGATGGCGACGTAGCACTTTCCACCATCAACTCCTGCGACATGCGTTAGTCCGCGATGAGATGATGAGTCTGGCGTAGCACCATGGCTTGGAAATTGTCGCCGATGAGACCGACTAAACTCGCCAGACTTACCGTTTGCCGCGGCAAGCTCCTCCAGGGTGATCGGGTCATCCTTGGGAGGGGCAAGGGTGACTGGCACCTTGGGCTCGAATCTGCCGGCCATCTTGAAGAACGCTGGTCAAGGTCGGGGCTGAGGCTTGTGTGACGAGCTGAGAAGGGGCTTCTGCCTCTGAAAATGCGAAGTTCCAAGAGCGCCAACCTCTACTCTGAGAAGGCCAAGCGAGAATGAGCTCAAACAATAGGATTTGAGGCAAGATATCTAGGTAAAGTAGAGTGCAATGAAGTGCATCACCAGGATGAAATCCCCGCCAATTCAGTGCGCAATCGAAGGCGATTGATTCATGGCGGGGCATTGTTGCGCCTGTGAACCTCGGACAAACGACGCTCGGTTGATTCGCCAGAGCAGAGGCTCCGGCCCCACTGTAGCTCTGACGTCTCGAACATTAGTTTTGAGCTTCCGTCCATATCGCGTCGTGCATTGTCAAGGATTCCTTCAAGCCATCAATTCCCACGATAATCTGGCGCTCGATCCAAGCGCAGCGCCACCATGTCGGCCAGCATCATCAGATCAATACAGACTTTGAACAGGTTAGCCATACGGAGTTCTTCTGCTTCAACACCTGGACTCTGCTTGATCACCCGGTCGCGACCCATTGCCCGACTCGGAGCATCTGGTACCATTATCGACAAATTGCAGAGGCGCCATCAGACCACGTCGGACAGACCTCAAGATGCAAGGAAAGCCGTAAAACGAAGCGCTCCTCCGCCTCCGCCTCCTGGGCTGATGCAGTTCCTGCGCCGAGCACTGACATTTCGCGGCCTATTCTCCTCTCTCACCCCCAACGGTCTCAAGATCCTGTATCGACAGAGCCCCATTGAGCTCGTGGCAGCTTTAGCTATGTGAGTGCATCAGTCGATGTTGGTTTTCAAGGAGACTCACCAACGTCATTGTCGCCAGTCTTGCCGGCCTGCTAGGCATATCAGCATACATCATTAAAGTATGCATCGAATACTTTTACGCACGCCAGTTCACCAAATATCCTGCGCCGATCGCAAAGTCTCTACGAAGAGCCCTATACTACACCAATATGAGCCCGGACCCGCAATTGGCCAAGAAGTGGTATAAGAAGGCTCTGGAGCAGTGCGATGAACTGGGTCTTGATCCATACTCTGACGATGTGCTGGGCATCAGGATCCAGACAGCGGCGTGGCTCGAGAAAATTGGCAACTACCAAGGAGCTATCACTGTCTTGGAAAGCATAATGAAGGACTGCACAAAATGGGTGGGCGCAATGGAGACGGGTATCGCAGACGGAACCATCGACAAGTCAGGCGTAACGCCCCCGAGCCAGGCCACACAAGGAGATGGCGAGCAAGGAACCCAAGAAGAGGAGGAAGAAAAGCCAGAAAACCTATGGCACAAGCGTAACAGGTTGCTGGCCAAGGCTGTCGGCACCAGCACCAAGCTGGGGGAGCTCTACGCCGACAACCATGTTAACGACTCGGAGAATGCTCACGCTCGTCTGACATGGGCTGTGGAGACCGCTCTTTCGGAGTCCAGGCGGCGGTCAGCTGAGGGGGTCAAGCCTGAGGAGGGCAAATGGCTAACCCCTGAAGAGTTTGGTGGGGTCATGGAGTGTGAGCAGCTCATCGTGTTGTCAACTCATAAACCATCTGCTAACATGAAGTCTAGCGCTGGCGCAACACTACGAGGCAAGGGACCAATTCCACCTTGCTGTACCGCTTTTGTTCCAGGCCCTACGCCTGTGCCAGAGCCCATGTCACCGTCCAACCATCAGTATGTGAACACCTCCTTGACTGGTTGACATCAACCAGCCTCAAACTATTGGATGAATGTTATTTCCAGGCGAAGCCTTACTGATCACGATATAGTGAATAATCTTGCAGTCTCCTTCGCACAACACCCAGTTCTGAGCACTCCGCATGCCATCCCGGATGCGCCGGCTACTTCGGATGCCCTCAGCAGCCCCGGCATGCCGACTACGCGGGATGGACTGCTTGAAGCGGCCTGGAACTGGGCCAAGAACGCCAGGCGGCATGCCAAGGATGTTGAATCCAGCGAGCGAACTCCAGAGTGTGATGAGGCCTGCGCTGTGGCGCTGTCGAACATGGCAGACATCGCCTCACTGCGAGGCAACGCCACAGAGGCCGCTCGTTGGTTCCAGGAATGCATCGACTTCAGCAAGAAGATTGGTTTCCAAGAAGGCGTCGCTCAGGCGGAAGCTCGCTTACAAACACTCAAGACTGCCAACCAGATGCGAAGCCCGACAACTTGAATGTACCGATGAGACATCCCCCGACATCTCCATTGCTGCACCAAAGGCTTGAACAACTAGGAGCAAGATATTCCACTGCAGATCGTCATGATCTAGAGCCGCAACTTGAAAAAGATGCCAGTCTCCGTTTCCGACACATGTCCGAGTTGAGGCCTCTCTTCCCAAAGCTGTGCGAGCCACAGATCGGAGCTTTGCGGCCATTTTCTCGCTCACGTAGAGTACAGGATCGAATAGCATCCTGTGCTGGGGATGACATTTGGGAAAGGGAGGGGTGTGCCAAATAGGAAGTGCAGCAACACTGGTTCTGTCAACAGCACAGGTATGGGCGTTAGGACGAGGAGACCGGCAGCGAGACGACGACGCTGAAACTCGGCGCTCAACGGGCTGGCAACGAACACTGTCATATTTTGACTCATAAAGCAAATCAGATTGCCAGGCTCTCCTCCAGCCTGATGAACCTTACCCTCCCTCACGCTATCGAGAGGACGTGATACAACGGCGGCGCTAATGATTGGGTGACACGAGAAAGTGCCTTATCGAGCATGCCAGAGTCTGCTTATGGCACACAGAAGGGGCTTGACAGTCCGACCAAATCACAGCAGAGATCACATGTTTTCGGGACACGGAAAGCCGGCCGGATCGAAGAAGCGACGGTGACAGACGCCAGGTCCTGCGAGACCCTGCAGATACATTGGAGTCGGAGCTGGTATGGTTTGTCTTGCAATTGGAAGTGGGATGCTCAAGTTTCATCCGGCGGCCGTAGCTCCCTTCCAGACTAGGGCCGCTGAAAGATCACAAAGAGTGCAGGCGGAATTCCGCTCCTGTTTGACGAGGGCAACACCTCGGGCACCGTACTGGTTAATCTGAACAGCACTGCGATTGCCTTGGATCCATCACACCTCGGGGGGAATTCTACCCTATTTCATCGCTGCGAGTAAAGGTCAACAACGCCAACCCCAGCTTGCCCAGGTAGGTCTCTACTTTTAGAGGCTCCGACGGGCAGAGTGGCGTCCTCACTGGCTGCGTCGACCGGGGGTGGATTGACCACGTTGTTTTCCCGCCACCCAGCAGCCGTGTGGGCCATGGATCATGGAATAGTGCAAGCTACATGTACAGACGTCGTGTGCCGCATCATACTATGGCGCTGTCGAGAGTCCTCCATCCCCGTTCCGCATACCTCTGGTGTCTGCCCCCCCTCATCCCATCTCCAGCACACATGGGTTGCGCAGCTTGCCAACCGGCGGCACCGTTCGTCAAGGAGGGCTTTGGGGAAACATCGCCTGCATCATGCTACAAACACGCCCCCCTAAATCCCTCCTCGCCCCCTCGAGCGCCGCAGATTTGACCTCTGGCGTTCGAGTTGCGCCGCCAAAAAGCCCCCCAAAAGTCGGGAATTGCAATTGCATCACACCCTTGTCCTTTATGCGCTCACACCCCTTCCTTGTCGTTGAATGACACCCTCAACCTACTGGCTCTTGACATGTCAGTCGCATCCATGGGCCGCCCTTCGACAAGTCACTGACGGCTGTGTGCTTCAACACACCGACCAAGTCAATCCCGCCGAAGCCCACTGTTGATCGCAGTGAAGGCTTGGTGTCACTCTCGTGAATGGAGGATGGGGCAAATGGCGGAGTCCCCGCTCATCCTCGACAAGGTGTGATTGACAATCGACATCAGGCTCTGCCAGCAACCACGACCACGAAATAGACTTGGCGTCTAGAGCGCAGGCGGAACAACCGGTCGAAGATCAATCCGAGTGGATCTGGGCACAAGCATACGCGCGAGCCTCGTCCCTCACTCTAATCGGGCATCTCTCGGATCAATCGCACGTCCATCGCTGCTTTAGATCAACACTGCCGACGGGTGAGGAAACATGGGGTGGAAGGAATGGGATGGTACCTTACCCCCAGCGTGTGTCGTGTCTGCCTGCAGTATGGCCGCCACTTTCCCGAAGCCAGTCATGGCCGCACCGACATGGCATTTCTCCAGCATAGTCCCCAAGTACAGCCCAGTCCAGTCCTGTCCAGTCTGTCCTAGTCGGTCCTGTCTGGACATCTGCTACATATATATATTAAGCCGCCCTCAGGCTGCCCTTCATGTCTCCGCCTCACCTTTGAGACCGCACAGAAACGACAACTATTCGACTGCATCTTTACCTTGGCACACGGCTATTGTAGCCATCACGGATCTGAATAGGGATCAGGACCAAACAACCCACTGCCGCCACTCGTCCTCTTGGCCTCCCAAGGCTGACACCACTCGCGGACGCCTTCAGCATGAAGAACACGGCGGCACTCGACATGGTGGACGCCAATGTCCTGCTCGATAAGAAACGCGTTATGGCTATGACGAGACTGACCAGTGCCTGAAACAACAGCGACATGCAGGACCGCAAATTCCATGTCATCAGCCGTACGTCCCCTCTGACCCGATCGCTCTACGCTTTTACTTGTCGATCTCCTCGGGCCAGTTGCCGGGCCGCGGTGGGGCTGCGGAGTTCCGCTCCGACACCACGCCGGACACGGTGAAGGCAGAGACGGCTGGCGGAGATGGCCTGCCAGCCAAAACTCAACAAGCACCGAAGCTAACGGAGCTGTCTGCATAGTTCGACGTATCCACAATGTCACACATAGGCAGCAGCGACACTCTGTACCCGAGTCCTCTCAGTTCGAGGCGCGTCACCGCCTCCCCACAACCCATGTCAACCGACCCACCAGAAAGGTCGACTGACGAGGCGTACGCATCGCCGTCGTCCATCGCGGCGTCAATAGCTACCGCAAAGCCCACGGCGAAAAGGAAGCGAGAGAACAGATATAAAAACGCAGCTCCCTCGGTCCTCTCGGTAAGACGTCTTCTGTAAAACATGCCAGTCTCTCAGTTGGCCTTGCTGCCCGCGGTTCTGGCGCTTTTCCTTTGGGCTGTTGGCTGACTTTGCAAAAGCGACGTCGGGCGCAGAACAGGGCTTCACAGAGAGCTTATCGCGAACGGAAGGATCAGCGCATCAAGGATCTTGAGCTGCTGCTGTCAGAACAGAAGGAGAAGAGTGAATCGCTTGGACAGGCATACGCAAATCTACATGCCGAGTACAGTAAGCTTCGAGCAATGCAAAGCCGGCCTCGACAGCCTCACCCTCACCAGCAGATTCCCATGTACGGAACGCCAACCATGGGTGGGATGGCCTCTCAGTCAAATATGAGTTACATGCCCGAAAGCAACTTTGTCTTCCAGACCATGGCAGATTTCTCTTTGTGAAAGAGATAAGACAGGTGCAAGGGTAGATATGAAGTACGCCCGGCTCACTCATGACACCGTACGCACCAGGAGCACTGACCATCCTCGGCGTTAGCCTTTGGCAGGAAAGACGGCAGGCTGAAGCACGAGTCACGATCTCGCTATCGAGGAGTACAGAGCTTCGGCGTACCTGAGCAAGAATTTGGTAGGACGCACCGCATGGAGCAGGCATACAGCAGGGGTATGAGCTCGACGGACGACGACGACGACGACTATCCTCTGGGCTCGGCCAAGACGTAGGCGATTTGGAGTTTGGCGAATGACGTATGGACGCACACTTATGGGTTTGAACTGGGTTTATTTTTGGGAAAGGGTGCAGGTTGTGTGATATCCTGCTTTGTTTTTTTTGTTTGGGATCAAAAGGAGTTAAACGTCTGATGGGGACAGACGGAAGGAGGCTGGCTATCTGGGCTGTTGTGAGGCACACCACGACATGGAAGTAATATCCTGTTGAGCGGCAAACCGAGAAATTGCAAACAACGCCGTGAAAAGCAACAACGCAGATATGGCTGTGAGCAGTGACTAGCATGTTCATGCCCCTCATGCCCCGCAGTGAAGACAATGCGCATGAGGAGATGAATGATATGAGGTGATTATGGCGTTTCAAGACCCTCTATCACCCGGGAGCATGGACGAGTGATAAACACTGATTGCGCAATCAGAGGGGGGAAGCTGTGGTCGGAAAAGGCGCCGGAGCCGAGCTGGCGATTTGGCGTCTTGCTAAAACATCCTTATCGGCGCATCACCGATTAACCGTCAGCCCTCTCCGAGCTTGATCGTCGAGTGAAGGGGGGGAGCGGGGACCGGCCATCTGGAAGCCATTGGCCAATGACGTGTTCACAACCACAGCGCAGAAGCTACCAGATAGCTAGGCAACAGAACCGGACATTTTGCGAGTCAGGTCTTTCGGGCACAAATTGTCGGGCTGTTTTCTCGTAGGTTGGGAAGGGGGGGGGGGGGGGGGGGGGGTTTTTTGACAAAGGGAGTCCCGTCGTACCCGACAACTCCATAGATACGAAGGCATCACCATGGCAGCTTATCATGGGATGGGATAGGAGCGATGTGGCCTTTTGCGTGCCCATGGGACCAGGGGGAAAGAGTCACTCTCGCAATTTGAGGCGAAGATCTGAGGTCCAGGTGGTTCTCACGATGGAGTCACCGCAAGGGTCGGCCGCAGTCGGAGCTGGTCAATTGCCTGCTAAGGAAGGCAGCGAGGTCACCTGCCTCGTTGCTCGGCGGGGCCATGGAAGAGCAAGGAAATGCGACTTGAGGCTGAGACGTGGCCAGAACACACCCATCGCAACATGCGGGACCCAGATGCCATAGTCCCAGATCACCAGCATGAATGACAACTCGCAACGGATCCACAGTCTAGGTATCTAGCATGAGTCAATGGACCTAGAGTCGTGGGATTCGCTTTCGGCGACGGGGGAGGGGCATGATTGTAGTCATGAAGCACCTTGATGTTGCGATTCTGTTGAGGCCGACGGAACCTCTTATCGACGAAAGGGTACCCCCAAAGCACGCTGAAGAGACTGGGTCGGCAGTGTACCGGTTTAGCGTCTTGGAGGTACTCTGGTATCCACTACCCCGCATTCTCGCCACGCCTCAGGGCGCAGCTGTGTACCTGGGACCCCGGATTACAGTGGGCCCAGTTGCGTCACACGGCTGCTCACAGGCAAGAGCGTTCCGTCAAGCTGGGAGGCAGATGCCATTGCTGGATTCTGTCGGCAACCGTTTGCTAGTCGTCAATGAGGTGCATCTAACGCAGAAGACGGCTTTCAAGCACCGGCATCGGCCACGTTGAGAAGCCAATGGCGGACGTGGGGGCAGGAAAAAGAGACGGAGAGAGAGAGAGAGAGAGAGAGAGAGAGAGAGCGACCGGACAAAGGCTCGGCTGGTCTGGAACGGGTACCACCTCATGGTCGTGCGAGTCGGCCCACGCCAGCCGTCGTCTCGTCGTCTACCTTGCGTCAGGTCACGCGATCCCCGACTGACCCCATCGGCCTCTCATCCGGAACGCTCGCGGGACCTGCACTGTCGCTGCCGCTGCCCACCTTTTCCCCTGTCCCCGCCTGAGGCGGCCCCCTCTCAGTTGAGCTGCCCACCCCCTGGCAATGCACCATGGCGGCAGCTCGCCAGGTGATCGCGTGATCTGATAGGTTGCTGGCTGGCTTCATTCGCTGCCCGCCCAAAGCGTCTGGTGGGTAGCAGCTGCTGCAGCAGCAGTAGCCCATGAGCTGGCGTTGCTATACGTAACCCGGAACCATCCACCCATTCAGACATGGAAACCGTTCTCTTTTATTAAAGGTTCCACATATCTCATCACTCATCACTTCATATCATCAAATACGGATTCTCTCTCTTCATCATCAGCACAATCACAACATCATCCCACGACCAATTCGACTGCAATCATCCAATCCGTCTCTCTCCCCAAATCACTCTCCATCAGTACTCACCCCTCCCGTCCTCTCTGCCTCTCTCCAATTCCCACTCTCACCAGTAAGTCATCCTCCATGTTCCTCCCATAAACCTTGAGCCCCGCATCCCATAGAGTCCTACCCCTCTCGGTGTGACACTCTGGTTGCGTCAACCCAACATCCCAATCAACATACAGTTGGGCATGTCCATCAAATCTCCATCAAGAGCATCAAGGATGCACGCTCTCGAAGCACTCGCCGACACCATGGGCCAATTCATGTAGATCTTCGCTAACACGCCTGCCCCAGTGACTCGCTCGCACAAGTACAACGACCGTGACCACGCCGGCCTGGCCGACGGTACTGCCGCACCCCAGGAACACCTCCCTCGCTACTTTGCCAAACACGGCCACGAAGGCGTCGACCCTAAGAAGATGAAGAAGAGTGGTGGTGGAAAGGCCAACTGGTAAGTCATTCCATATATCAAATCGTTCCCCGTTTCGGGGAAGCCGCAGGCTGCTTCACCTCCATTCATCAAATCATCACGCGGATGACATGGGTTACAACAGACTAACATTGAATTTCCCATAGGGGCAATGCTGGCGATGAGATCGTTGATGAAGACTTCTCATTTGCCAACCCCCGTCGCCGCTCCAACAGCACTGGCTACGCCAACCAGCTCCTGTCATTCCGGACCAAGTTTGACGTGAACGAGCCCGAGCCCGTCTTTGAGGAGAGCCTTCACGGCCCTACTGAAGACGATGTCGGCGCGGAGCTCGCCAAGACCGAGACATCGGAGAGTGACCGATCCTCCGAGGATGGCAAATCCTCCCAGCACTAATCCACCTCGCCCTGCGTCGGTGGGCGCCGGCACGAACACTGGTAGCGCGAGGCTGTTGTACTACTTATCACTAAATCTATTATTTACGACAAAGGAGGCGTCTCAGCGACACACGGGGTGTCTTGGGGATTGGGCCTCTGGGTTCGGTGTACCGGCGGTTGGCTTTTGCTATTTGAAGAATGGGAACGGGATCAAGCGCGATGAGGAACAAGTTGTCTCGTCCTCTTGTCTTGTTTCATAACATGCCTCGGCGGTGGAAACCAGTTGCGCTTGACGATCTCGACGAAAGGTGACGGCAGTTCACCATTGTATCATCACACACAACCAAACGGCCAATGATCTCAGACAAATAGATCCATGCCCTGTAACCGTTTGCTCCTTTAATGTGACTGCCGAATCGTGATGCATCTGCTGGCCAAGTACCTACTCTACCCCGCTTCCGTTGGCACAGAGCAGGAAGGCACAACTGGACCACCTGCCAAACGAACACGAGCTGCCACCGCCAACCCATAAGATTGTACTCACCAAGTCAAGAATTCCCCATGTTAGGTGTCTTGTACTAAGCCCTTGTATAATCTTTATGATCCCTTACTTTTCAAAATACGTTCCTCTAACGACCGTCCCTCGATTTGAGCAAGCACCCCAGTCAAGGAAGTCCGTAAGGAAGATCACTTCTCTGCCGGCCAACATGTCCTCGCCGTCTATTCAGTCGTTTTTCACCAAGCCGATTGCAGTTCTAGGCAGTGCAAACCCTACTAAAGTACCACATCCTGACGGGTTCACACAGGAAGAACTTGACGCACCCACCAGCCCTCTTGCTCGAGCCTGGAGACCAACCGTCACATACAGGGAAATTTCGATTACTGACATCGTTCCCGGGCCGGGAAACATCTCTTTTTCGGGTCGCATTGTCAACTATAGGCCCTCAGAGGTGGACAAGATAGGCGGGCAATACTCAAGGCCATGGCACTTTCTAGTCATCAAGGATGACACTGGTGTTCTTGGTGTGAGTCCTGCAGCAACGCTGCTGTTGTGACCTATGGTGCAGCTCGGTAACTGATTCTTTTCACAGGTCAAATTGACGCCAATTGGCATACCCGTCGCCACGTTCGTCCTTGGAAGGCTCGTTACTGTCTGGGCTACATACATTGGAACCCCTTCGTCGACTCCCTGCACCATCCCTTACATGACGAGCTGCACCAGTGTCAATCCTGAGCGGGGAACGAAGCAATTCATTCGGTTTTTTGAGGACACAAGCGAGAATGACATGCTTCATCGAGTCCCGTTAGGGTCCGGACTTTCCGATGAACCCCTGAGACCTCTTCCTGACCTGATGACGCTGGGTACTTACGGTAAGACTGGACACGACGACGTCCGTGGCGTCATGCTGCTTGTTTGCGTCAGCAGCGTTGGTAGGCGGCGACAGGTGAGGAAGGCTGGAAGAGACGAGTTCTTGGAACTCATAGAGGTGATCGTGTGCGACAACACCGGGAGTTGTGTCTTCACTTTATGGGAGGACAAAATCAACTCGGCTCGAGCATGGACACCGAACAAGACTATCCTGCTCATCGTAAACCCCAAGCGACAGAACCGTCGCGGTAGCGGTGGTCAGGTCAATATCGGCATCGGCATCGACAACGCCACGTTGGTTGACGTAGAGCCCCGAGGCCCCGATGCCGACTGGCTTCGAAGATGGGCAAAGGACCGACTGAAGAAAGAGGCTGTGTGTATAGCTTTCCCGGACAACATATGGAATGCGGAGGAAGCTGTCAATGGTCCCATCCGGGCCTTGTTTACTGTTGCTGAGGTAGACGAATTTGTCCGCAGCGATTCTCAGTTGGAGTTTACTGGCAAGCTCAGTCTCATCATTGTGGATATGGAATTGACCAGTTTGTGGCAGAGAAAGATGCTCTGCTGTACTGAATGGTATGAACGGACGTCTTTCGCTCCTACCCTTTTCCTAAATCTTAGTTTCCGATCAACTGACGGCTGGGCTAGTTGTGGAGTGCCCCTTTATGCCAACATTAGCATGGCTACGTGCCAAAACTGCCGGTCCCCTCAGCATCTGTCTTTCAACCCTCGGATCATGGGCACATTGGTGGATGAAACAGGCTGCATCGAGAAGGGCAAACTGATGTGGAGTCTTGATGCATGGAAACAGCTCCTTCTGCCCGATGGGGATGCAACGAGTTACCAGCAAACCAACGACCTGCAATCAGACGCTGCAAGTCCTGGGACTGTCGTTGGCGATCACCCAAATTGTACTAACATGGATCAAATCTGGGTCAAACTGACAGAAAAGGGGGCTCAGTCGATCAGAAGCATTGAGGATCAGTTGTTGTATTCTCGCGTCACACTCACTTTTGGATGGGCGCCTGCGATCGAGAGACTGTGTATACTTGGAGTGGAATGGTAATAAGGAGATCCTGCTCACCCCATTTGATATTCACGGAAGAGATGCGAGGCGAGGGACAAGTGCTAGTAAAGAATATCACCTAACTATGACGGGTCAAAAGTCAACAATCCGAACTGGTGTAATGGCTAACATTTGACGCTCTCACCGTCAGGCTCAGGGTTCGATTCCCTGGTTCGGAATTGCTTTTGCCTCTCTCCCATAAGCGGCTCTCTTTTTTCACGCTTCGTTAATCAGTGAAGACATGCATGCATGGCATGTCAATCGATATCGTGATTTAACGAGCACGAAGAAGATGTGTGATGAAGGAAGCGAGAGAGGGTTGGAGAGCCAATTCATCACAACTTGGCAAGGAATGCTACTGCCTGGCGGGGCAGCCAGTCAGCGACGGACCACCGGGCCCTTGATAGGGGCCGTCAGAGGCCTGTGCCGTTGTGCTTGGCTGGCTCCGCCACATCGAGCGAGGCCTGGGTACCTCCGCGTGCGTGCCGCGCCTGCGCCTGCGCCTGCGCCCGCGCCCGTCACCACCTGGGCGCCCCTTCGCTCTCTACCTTTCACCGAAGGCGGTCCTGGTCCTGGTCCTGGCTCTCCCCTTTTTGGCATACCTTACCTGGTAGGTACTGATGGACGCTGACGCTCCACTGTAGTCGTCGCCTGGCACTCGAGGACCCGCCCGCTCCGCCAACCTGGACATTTCGAGACTCTGGGTGGACAGCTGCGACCCTGACATTGCATCTTCTTCGCGACCACGACGAAGCTTGTGATCAAAACGACGCTTCCTACCTCCCACCACAAAGCGCGCGTCGCGCAAAAACACCACCTTCATAATGCCCGAATCACCATCCGATGTGGGTCAGGCCGACTCGATCCGGTCGCACGATTCGAATGACAAGAACTCGGACAAGAAGAAGAGTCGCCGTCCCGCAAGTACGTGGAAGCTCCGGACATGTGTCTGCGGTGCAAACAAGTGGCTGCCAGGCCCAGTCTAGGCAGGGCGACAGGTTGCTGATACTTCTGCTTGGTATTTAGACACTGCGTTTCGGCAGCAGCGGTTGAAGGCATGGCAGTGAGTCCGCCCTTTCCACCAAGGCGACCGAACATGGATGCGCTTCGACTTTCCACGACGAGACTGACCAACAACACCATCCAGGCCCATCCTGACACCCAAGACGGTGCTGCCCCTGTTTTTCACCATCGGCATCATTTTCGCTCCCATTGGAGGTCTGCTACTCTACGCCAGCTCCGAGGTACGATCCTCTGCTCGAGAACCCCGCGGCTTCCGGTCGCAACAATTACTGACAAATGGGATACACAGGTCCAGGAAATCCGGATTGACTACTCAGACTGTCTCAACGATGCGCCGACTAGCGACTTTGATACCATGCCCTCTAAACACATCTCCAACGCCTTCAAGGGCGGTAACGACACCAAGGTTGCCCGATGGAGGAAATACGAGGACGTTAACGTGCAACCAGCACGCGGTCAAAATTACTCAGGCACCATCTGCACCGTCGAATTTACCATTCCAGAGGACATGGGCCCGCCTGTGCTCTTCTACTACCATCTCACCAACTTCTATCAGAACCATCGTCGATATGTCTCGTCCTTCTACGCCGATCAGCTGAAAGGCGATGCTCAGAGCTCCAACTCGATCAACGGCTCCGACTGTGGTAGCACCAAAGAGGTCGCCTTTGACCGGGACAATGGACTGCCCATCTACCCATGCGGCCTCATCGCCAACTCGATGTTCAACGACACGTTCACTTCGCCTCTGCAGCAGAATCTCCAGGGCTCCAATGAGGACAGCGCTATCTACGAAATGAAGGACAACAGCAGGATTGCTTGGGCCTCCGACAGGGACCTCTACGGCAACACCAAGTACGACCCCTCGACCATCATGCCGCCTCCCAACTGGCGTAAAACATTCCCCAAGTACACTGAACAGAACCGTCCTCCCGACTTGAGCGAGTGGCAGGCTTTCCAGGTCTGGATGCGTACAGCCGGTCTGCCCGAGTTCAGCAAGCTGTATCAGCGCAATGACGACGAGCCCATGCGAGCTGGAACCTACCAGGTTAACATCACCGACAGTCAGTCCTTTGTCCGAGCCAATGTTGGTATGGGACGTCAGAGAAACTAACATGTGGACGCAGACTTCCCAACCAAGGCATACAAGGGTTCCAAGTCCATCGTCATCTCCACTCGTACCGTCATGGGTGGCCGTAACAACTTCCTTGGAATCGCATACGTGGTCGTCGGTGGCCTGTGTATTGTCCTCGGTGGCGTCTTCACCGTCACTCACCTCTTGAAGCCAAGGTAGCCCCCGCCCCCTGTAGCAACTGAGCTGTTCCAGTGTTGCCATGATATCTAACCCTCCCTTGCAGAAAGCTTGGAGACCATACATACCTCTCCTGGAATAATGCTCCCGCCTCTCAAAAGGGTCCTGCCACTGGCGGTGTGCTCGGCGGCTCCAGCGGCGCCATGGCCTCCGGCCGTGACCTTCGACCTGGCGAGGCCTAGGAGGCGCGCGAAGAGTCCCAGCGCAGACTCGTCTCCCTCGCCTCGAGCGGACCCTCACACAGCGTCGCCTCCCTGGCCAGCGCGGCCGCAGGTCGACGCCGCGCCTCGCCGCTGTCGTTCCTGCAGCGGGCGTGACGTTCTCATCGCTGCTGCTGCTGCGGTGCTGCAACGGGGCCTTGGTTTCGTGGAGGGCAGTAGAGACGAAACGACAGTGTATGAATACTTCTTTCCTCCCGCCATCACCTACAATTGATTTATATCTGAGGGTCTACGTCTTCGGTTTGCCTTGCTGGTTCGGTTTCCACTTGCTTCTCTAGCTCTTTGTGCAGCTTGGCTGTTGGGCGGACTAGGCTTTCAGTTCAGTTTTACCTTTTCTTCCATCTGGTTTGGCGGCCTGGCAGGAAGGGGGGGCACGGGTGGCAGATTGAAAGATGCAGGTAGCCTTTTGCCCCTTGGACCTGCTTGGGCCTGGCGTTTGGCGGCGTAGTAATGAATAGAAAGTTTTCCCATTTCTTACCTTTCCGCTTCAAGATGAATTTGTGATGCTGAGCTGAGGTTGTCGTGGGCATGCTATGTGACATGGACTATGAGTGTGAAGTGCTAGGTCTCCCTCGAAGACTGCGCGTGATGATGCTTCCCGGCCTTCGATCAAACAGGCTGTATCACCCACGTGCTGGCTAGACAGCAGAATCGTCTGCATTATGTCACGGGGTGTTTGCATTTGCTCGTCAAAGTTCATGCGTGCCATTAATGGTCAATTGATTCAGCCAACAGTCAGTCAGTCCCCTTGCTTTTAAGCAACCTCCGCTTCGCCAGCGTATAGATGAATTCTCGAGACAGCTAGCTCCTCCCGCGAGCCCAGTATCCAGCAAGGTTTCGTTCGATACAGAAAACTATTCCGCAAGAGGTACAATTTTTTTTGATACAACGCGAGATGAGGAAAACTTCTTCCCGGTCTCTGTTTTTCCCTTCAGTTCCTTTTGCCAAGAAAGCACAATTCGCGGGGCTTATTAGCACGCCCGACCAGCCTCGTGTCGGCAACAGAGGACCATAATCCGGCGCAACCCCCTGCCCCACCGCGCCAGCGACGCACACGCACAGCCTCTCAGTGCTTGCGCTTCTTCTTGTTGCGACCCTCGTCCTCCTCGAGTGCGCTCTCGCGATCTCGCTTCTTGGCCTTGGCCTCGAGCTCATCCCAGTCTTCGCCCTCGTCCTCATCGCTCATGTCTGCGTCATCCTCGTCAGAGGCATTCGAGCCAAAGTCTGAGTCCTCTTCGCTCGATTCGGATGCTTCGTCAAGCTCGTCGTCGTCAATCTCAAAGTTGCTCTCCTCCGACTCCTCACCGCCGTCCTCGTCGTCAGACTCGGCCTGCAGGAAGGACCAGCCGCCGTCGATGAAGAACTGGTGCGTGTCGGCCGTGACAGTCTTCATGATGGTAGGCCAGTTCAGGTTGAGAGGACCTTCCGAGTAGGCAATGTCGGACGAGTCGAGGAACTCCTTGACGGCATCGAGGAAGTCGACAGGAATCGTGTTGACGTGGTAGGGGGCCCGCGAGAAGTCCTTGAAGACAAAGACCATATCAAAGTTCTTCAGACCAAACTGCACACGTTCCAGGTGGCAGATCTCGATATCGTCGAGCGTCAGAACCATGAAGGGGGGTTCCACGACCTGGATCAGACAGTCTGTAGTGGGCTGAATGAAGACGTTGCTGCGGAACGGCACGCCGTGGAACCCAAGGTCTCGCAGCGGCATGTCGACCTCGATGCCTTCATTTTTACCGGCCTCGGCAATCTTTTGCGCAAAGCCTTGGAAGAGGCGATCGAGCTCCGCTCTCCTACGACGCTCCTCCTGTTCTTGCTCAAACTCGTCCTCGTCACCATACCTGTACTTGCGTTTCCTGTTGCCAGTCTCGTCGAACTGGATGTCGGTCGCTTCGCGGTAGAACTGGATGTCCTTCGTCTTCTTCTTGTTACTGTAGACGATGGGGTCTTTAAGATGGATGTGGATGATGACGATGAGCTCGTGCTGGCAGGGCTGGAAGAAGAGGTGTCGGACGTTGGAGAAGAGAACGTCCACCCTCTGGCTGCCATGGAGCGGCGAAGTGTAGCGGATACCGTTCTGGTGAATCTCAACCTTGCCAGGTACTCTCTTGCCCTCCATCGCTGGGCGCAGGAACACGTTGTCGAGAACAGCCGGGCGGCGGTCTGCCTCATGTTAGCTTGGCTATGTTCTTGTCCATGTTCAAGTTTTCACTTACTCCTTATCTCGACGAGCTTGTCCTGCTCGACAACGTCCTCGAGCTCCTTCTTCTCCTGTTCCTTCTTGTTGCTGTCACGCTTCATGTTCGAGATCTGTGTGGCAATCTCTTGGTAGCGGTCGCCGTCCGTGGAACGGAATGTCAAGCTTCTGACGAAGTGGGCTGTGGCATCCTCAAATGGTTGATCGTCTTTGCGACCAACACCCTGGCCGGGCGACAGGAAATTGA